AGGGATGATGTGAGTGCCACCCTACCAAGTACACCGGACGTCTTATTGTGGGTGCCCGCGTGTGTGGGGTCAGGGCATCCGGACTAAAGACAAGAAGCACATCTCCGACCTTCTCTCCGCCCTCCATGCCCGGAAGGGTCGGGGTGTAAAGGGTCGGGGATTATCGGTGCCTACCACGCGAGGAGGGTGGCGCCACCGATGGCGCGGCGTGCTTCCCTGCACGGATGACGCCAGGATATCGTTTGAGGAGACGGTGCTGGGATTTAGGCGCTCCCTTATTCGGAAGTGGCGCACGTATCAAGGAGGGCGACGGAGCCGACGAAGGATTCCGGCGGCAGGTCCTCAACATCGTGTATCCGGTGCCCGGCATCCTCCAATGTGGCGGAGCTGGGTTCTTCGAATCGTAAGCCCTCTTCTCCCGCATTCTTTTCTTTCTCCTGAATCTCCTCTTTTAACACTTGCTTCAGTAATGTTGGGGCTAGCCGAGGGGGCTAGTCTTCAAGGATAGCCAGCCCCCCGCCAAGGACAAGGTTGTGGCGGCGAATCGACTCGCGCCGAAAGCGGGACAAGGAGGCAAAGGAGGAGATGAAGAAGGCGAAACGATCAAGCGAGGAGGCACGGGATCGGGAGAGGACGTGAGCAGTGAGGATGACGATGATGATGATGATGACGACGGCGACGACGAGGTAGCCGTCGACGTGGATTGGGGCGTCCTGGAGGATGAGGAGACGCCGACAAGTGGCCACCACCAGCGTGGGGCCTTAAGCCTTTCACGCGGAGGAAGTGAATCGATGAGGTCGGTGGAGGCCGGCGAAGTGCGCCTCTTCGCCGCGCGGCGTGCGGCCGAGGACCGGTGGATGGGGAAGGGCGAACTGTCGCCGCCATCCCCGAGGGCGATGAAGGGGGGGCGACTCGGTCTTGCACCCGTGAGACGATGGAGGGGACGGCTCTGGTGCGCGCGCCCGACGAGGCGATGGAGAGGAGCGACTCGGGGCGCGCCCGGACGAGATGGACCCCCCGCCTGGGCGGGGGTAGGCATGAAATGGTCCCGCCAGATGAGCCAGGCGAGGGTCCGGGATCCATCCCCAAACGCTTCCGCCCGGCGAGGGCGTCAACGTGGCTGCTGATTCCTCTGTTTCATCCTTTTCCTTTTTTATTTTGACTTAATGGTTATTACCTTTGCGCGGTTCTTGCGGACGGGTCACCCACAGGCCGGGCGCCCAAGAAGAGTCTCGCCCTTCAAGTGGGACGACGGCTTTGCTGGAGCCACCCTGTTTGGGGCAGAGTGGTGCCGATGTCGGGCGCGTTGGCGAACCGACGCGCAGCGTCAAGGTGGCTCCCACACCCGCGGAGGTTCTTGGCGAAGCGGTCTCTTCCGCGGCGGGCGTGGAACAACCGGCCGAGGACCGCATCCGCGGTGACGGTGGTCGTGAATGCGCCAAGCCAGATCAGCCGGACGCGGTCGTGGTGGCACCCGAGGTGTGGTGCAATCCAGCGTCGCCAGCGCCCATGTGGATCCACCCGGCGCTTCGAAGCGGCCCAGACGGAGGAGGGTCCAGCCGAGGGTCCTCGAGTCTTGGCGGTGGTGCCGCCTGACAGGTCGAGAGAGGAGCCGCCACCGGCCCCTTTGTCGGGAGAAACCGCTCCCCTACGCTGGGAGAGCCGCCCGCTCCAGGTGGATGGATGCTCGAGACCCGGCGTCGGCTCTTTTCTCGCTCGATGATCATTCCGAGAGCATGGAGCGGGAGGGTCTTGACATCGGGATATCGACCTTGCTTTGAACGCCTGGACCGGGCCGGAGGGAGCCCTCCGTGAGATCGTTATCCCTACCACTCGGGTATTTTCGGACTTTCTTCTTTCTTCATGTGTTTTTGTGTTCTCGTATTCCTGATATCGGTCTTCTTCCTCCTCAGATTCTTGTTGCTCGTGGCGGGATAAATCCCAACTCCTCCATGAATGTAGGCGGAGGGATCGCTTCTTCCGAGGAGGCCCTAGCTGCTGGCAGACGTAGCCGCCTTGACTTTAAGTCAGCTGTCCAGAGCGGGAGGCCCAGCGCGCGTCGGGATGCGGAGGAGGCGCACGGAATGTTCGAGGACCTGTCATCGTGAGGTCTAAGCTGGATGGAGAGGAGATTGCCAGGACTCAAAAAAGAGCGAGACGAGCTGCTGCGGAGAATTCATGACCAATGAGAAGGCCAGTGAAGTCTTGAAGGAGCTGGAGATGGAGCGGGACCTCCGGCGGAAGGCCGAGAGTAGAGCCACAGCCCTCCAAATGGAAGGTGGACAAGGACGTCGAGGTGGTCCGCTCTCTCCGAGGCCGGAGCTTGACGACGCAGTGAAAGGAAAGTCGAGTCTTGAGAACGCCGCCACCAAGCTGGAGAAAGAGAGGCGCCTATCTGCTGCAGAGCCCTTCAGTTGAGAGTGATGAGCACGATCTTCTACAAGCTGCGGTCGGGGTTGTCCTTAGCATACTGAATGTGGCGGAGCGGTGGAGACCAGCCTGCCATGGCTCGTGTCGGAGGTATCACGGCTCGGGTGGGCCAGCTTGAGGAGAGTGCCTTTCACGCCCGGGATTACCCAGGCCTTCACCGTCGCCCACGCCCACTATGAGAAGGAAATAAACACGAAAGTGATGAGCGAAGGCTTTCCGTCCACCTACGAGGATGAAGAGTTTGGAGGAAATGGAGAAGATGGTTGCTCCCTTACAAAAACTCAGCGGACAATCTGAAAGAGATGGTTCTCCCTCCATGGAAGTAATTAGTCGAACAATTTTAAGAATAACTTATATGTAATATGTGAACAAGTGTCGGTACTTTTCGAGTCTGGGCGCCTTTCGTGCTTTAATGCGTCTTAATTTCGTTTTGTTTGATTTTTGCAATTTCATTTTTTACGGTCTTACCAATATGTTCCCTGAATTATGCCGCTGATTATAATGCGAGGAGATTGTTCGAAAGAAGGAGAGGAGGTAGCCGTACCTTGACAGCCCCGAGAAGGTCCGACCCCCTTTTTCTTTGGGGTCGGGTGTTATTCTTGGAGACCGGAATCGTGGTTACGGTGATAATGGATGCCATCGCAATAATCCCATACATCTTCCAGCGTAAATCCCAACTGGGAACTCTATGGGCTCGGCAAGGTGGGGCCTTTGTCCTCGCATTGTTTGGCCCGAGCCCCCGAGCCTTGTCGAGTCGATAGGGGTCGGCCGTTATTTGCGTGTTACCCGTCCTCGGTTTTCGTGAATCGGAGGGGCTGAGTGAACGACACTTGCCTCGACGGCTTGAGTACCAGCAGGCTCACGAGCTCGCTAACCGAACGCGTTAAATGCGGAATCCGGGTCCATCATTTGCGATGGGGTCGGCAGAGAGCTCCCTCCGTGGCACTCCACAACTTCTTAACCCACC